TATTGAGGGTCATTTATTGCCCAGAGCTGGTTAGATCTTAGAATGCCCCTACTGCCCATTCTGAGGGTTCCAGTGTGGGAGTGAGAGGAAGGGGAGACTATGCCAATATAGTGCCAAAAACCAGATGGGGTGCAAGGCAGACAAGGGCTGGAACAAGCACACCCCTGGCTACCAATGACCTCACAAGCTTGACTCCTCTCCCCAAGAACACCCGAGAGAGCTCTGATGGCTTAGTGGTATGGAATTGCGCGGCCAACACAAAGGTACTTGGGTCAAGTCCATCAGCTTTTCCTCAGGATCCGTTGAAGGGTCAGCTATGGGTCAATTCCAACTTGAAAGGAAACAAGGGCCTCAAATTCTCCAAGGGAAACAACAGGATTGATAGCCATTGATCAGTCACTTCATTAATTCAGGCCTCCTTCTCAGAAGTTATTTAAAACAATTGAAAAATACCAGACTGGGATCAGGTGCATCTTGGTCTTTAAATTGACATCCTTGCTCTTTAAAATTTTGGTGAAGTCATTGACAGCAAATTTGTCCAATGCAATATATCTTTTGATTTCTTGACTGCTGCGATCATGTATGTTGATTGTGGTTCTAAGCAAAATTAAATTGTTGACAACTTCAATCATCATCTCTCATGATACTGTCCACCGATGAGAATCTCAGGAGTTAAGAGCATGACCATTGGAACCTGAATTCTGAGTTCAAATCCTCCATCTGCTGGTTTCTAGCTGTGAGAATTTGACCCTCTCTGCCTTTATTTTCCCTCTGTCCAAAGTGGAGATAATGGTATTTTCTACTCATAGGGTTGTTACAGGGATTAAACAGAAACATATGTATAAAGCTCTTAAAACTTACTGTATCACATCAACTGTAACTTATAGTAGCCCTCTACTAGGCTTCTGAGAAATGTTTCTGAGAGCCCCATCTCCCTCCCACAGAGCCACTGGTGGGTTCCAGCCATCTGAGATGCACAGCTCTTTGGTTTGCAATTATAACACCTCACAGACTATAGTGTCAGAGCTGCTTGAGCAGGCTTAATCCTCTAAAACTGCAGAGTAGAGTGCAAACTCACTATATCACTCAACCTACAGCTAAAAACCAAACATAAACCCATTATCATCGAGGCAATGTCAGATCATAATAATCTTCCACTAGGTGTCTGAGGCTGTAAATCTACCTTTACAGGAAGAGACTGTGTGTCTGTCTTCCAAGAAGTGGTTGGTGGATTCAAGTTGCGAACCTTCTGGTTAATAGCTTGATAAAATTGCACATTATACCACCTATGATTGCTGTTGTTGTAGTTATGTGCTGTTGAGTCGCCTGCGACTCATAGCGACCCTATGTACAACAGCGCTAAATTTTGCTCTGTCCTGTGCCAATCTCACTATCTCCGACAAACCTACCCCATTACCCCAGTCACTGAATAAATCCACCTCATAGAGGGTCTTCCTCTTCTGTGCTCCCTCCACCCTCCCAAGGATGATGTCCTTCTCCAAGGACTGGTCCCTCCGTGCAACATGTCCAACGTATGTCAGGTGAAGCTTCAGAATCCTTGCTTCCAAGGAGCAGCCTAGTTTAACCCTCTCCAGGATGAACCTGTTAGTTTTCTTAGCCATCCATGGTACATTCAATACTCTTCTCCAGCACCACAGCTGAAAGGCATCAATTCTCCTTCTATCCTCCGTAGTCATTGTCCAGCTTTCTGATGCAAGGCAAGTGATTGCAAAGACCATGGCCTGTATCAGGCATACCTTAGTCTCCAGAGTGACACCATTGCTCTTCAGTACTTTCACATTGCAATATGTCTTTTAATTTCTTGGCTGCTGGTGCCAAGAGTGTTGACTGTAGGGTCAAGCAAACCAAAGCTGTTAACAATCTCAATCTCTTCACCATCCATCCTGATGCTGCCAGTTGGCCAAGTGGTGAGAACCTTTGTCTTCTTGATATTGAGCCTCAATCCATATTGAAAGCGGCAGTCCTTGACCTTCTGCAGCAAATGATTCAGGTCCTCCTCAGTTTCAGGAAGCAAGGTTGTGTCATCTGCATAGTGCAGATTATTGCTGAATCTTTAACCAATCCTGATGCCACACTTCTCCTCATACAGCCCAGCCTCCCGGATAATGTATTCTGCATATAGGTTGAAAATGTATGGAGACAGGACACATCCCTGGTGTACACCCTTCCCAATTTTGAACCATGCAGGGTTTCCCTGCTCTGTTCTGACGACTGCCTCCTGGTCCAAGTATAGGTTTTGCATTAGCACGATCAAGTATTCTAGGATTCCTATTCTTCTCAGAGTCAGCCACAGTTTGTTGTGATCCATATAGTCATGCACGTTTGCATAATCAATAAAACACAGATAAACATTCCTCTGGTATTCTCTGCTTTCAGCCAAGATTCATCTAACATTACCTACAATATCCCTAGTACCACAACCTCTTCTAAACCCAGCCTGCACTTCTGGCAGTTCTCTGGTGATGTGCTGTTCTGGTCGGTTTTGGATAATCTTCAGCAGAATCTTGCTTGTATGGGATGGCAATAATATTGTTTGATAATTTCCCTACTCTGTTGGGTCACCCTTCTTTGGAATGGGAACAAATATAGATCTCTTCCAGTCAGTTGGCCAAGTGGTTGTCCTCCAGATTCCTTGACACAACTTGGTGAGTACATCTAGGATAGCATCTGTTAGTTGAAATACATCAATTGGTATATCATCAATTCCTGGGGCCTAATTACTGTTAATTTTTTTATGAGAAAAAATTGAATTTATAATTAGCCAGTTTGGCTCAGTTTAGTTGATTCCAATTTTGTTGACAACATCCAAAGCATGTTAGTCAGGAGTGAGTCGATCATAGGCCTTCTTCTCTCCATCAGGCCTGGATCCAAGTGTTGACTTTAGCCACATCAATGTCATAGAGCTTCTTTAGAGCTTTTAAAATTTGGTGCTTGTTGGCCTTGACATCCACAATGAACACAAGTGTTCATTATTAACAACATTAACAAATGTTGTTATCGTCTATCTTCTTCATGGCTGACTCAGTGATCAGGGGAAATTTGATGATGGCATAGTGGTCAAGCTTGTTTTTCCTGGGGGCACTCTTCTGGGGGTTTTTGGGCTGCCTTCTGAGTCTCAGCGTCTTAGGCCACCCGAAGATGAGTGAGGTGCAGATCTTTTTTTTTCTTTCTTTTTTTTTTATGACTGTGGATGCCCTTCAGGACTGCCTTCTTGGCTTTTAATGTCTTTGCTTTGGCTTCAGTTTTGTGAGGGGCAGGGGCTTCCTTCAGTTTTGGTGCCATCTTCGTAGAGGCACAGGGCCTTATTTTTTTTGTAAATCCCTTCAAAGCAGCTTGAACTTCTTCTTTCATCACCATAGGCTCTTGCTCATATGTTGTTTCATGAAATTCTTCTGTATCTGCCAATTCCTTTCGGTACAGTGACTCTGTATACTCTTTCTATCTTCTTTTAACACTTCCTGGATCATTTAGTATTCTGCCCAAAACATCCTTAAGTATAGCAACTAGAAGTTTGAATTTGTTCTTCAGTTCCTTGAGCTTAAGAAATGCTGAGCGAGTTTGGCCCCTTTGAATTTCTGACTCCAGCTCCTTGAACATTTCGTGGTAATATTTTGCTTTGTCTTCCCATACTGCCTTTTGAAATCCTCTGTTCAGCTCTTTAGTATCTTGAATTCGTCCATTTGCTTTGGCTTCTCAGGACTCTAGTGCAATATTCAGAGTCTCTTCTGACATCCATTTTGGTCTTTTCTTCCTCCTCTGTCTTTGTATGACCTTTTGCACTCTTCCTGGATGATACTCTTGATATCCTCCCACAACTCATTTGGTCTTCATTCATTGGTGTTCAAGGCCTCAAATCTGTTCCTAAGATGGTTCTGAAATTCTGGTGGGACTCAAGGTCATATTTTGGTTCCCAGGGATTTGTTTTAATTTTCCTTAGCTTCAGCTTGAACTTACATATGATTAAGTGGAATCATACATACACTGGCTTACTTTCTCTAATATTTTGCTACCTTAGTTTCTCTCTCTCTCTCTGTGTGTGTGTGTGAGAGAGAAAGAGAATGGAAGGAAAGCAATTTAGTGTTACTAAGAACAGTAGGACTCAAGGAAGGAAGTTGAAGATTTTTCTTTTTTTTTCATTCATTTTTTGGTATTTCTCCCACATTGTCAGTTGCTTTTATTACAGTGAAAATGATAATTGTATTTTTTAAAAATATATATTCTTTTTTCATAAACCCCAGTTGTATAGTGATGTAATTAATATACCCTATAATTCACCAGTTCAAGGGTATAATTCTGGGGTTTTCTGTCTATTCAAAGTTATGCGACCAAGGTGACAACTTTACAATAGTTCTCTGTAAGAACAATATTCTCCATCTACACTTTAAAGAAAAGGAGAGATACAGTGTGAAAGAAAAGAGGGCTGAAAGAGGGGTTATTTCTCGAGGCTGTTTTTGATTTGTTTTTTAAATAAAACAAGGAAATTGTCACTGCCATCAAGTTGGAACAGACTCATCCTTGATTCTCTGTTGAGTTTCCAAGACTGTGAACTGCATGTGAGGGGATTGCCTATCATTCTCCAACTGAGCTGCTGGTGGATTTGAACCACCAGAGGTGTGTCCTCTGAGTTAGCTCAGCTCCCTGTGGACGTGCCACATGCTCAGGGGACCACATTCCCTTGATGTGATGGTCAGAGTGAGGGTGCAGCCAATCCCCTTTCTTTGACACTCCCTTCTCCAGCCCGGGCAGGTGCCTATGTCCTCAGATCCTCTATGGATCCTTGTGAGTGAGAGAGACTTAAAGGAGGTGGGGAGCAGCACGTTTTCTGGACTTTGCTGCTATCCTTGGCCCTGCTCTTCTCTTCAGACGCCTTCCTGTCCAGGTGGCTTTGCACACACCCTAGCTGCTTACCCCAGAGTGTTTCTGTGCTGGCTCAGCTGAGTAGTCAATTGGGCTGGGTCAGCCGACGGGCCACCTGAGAGATGCCCTTATTCTACTTTCAGAATGCTTCCCCAGCCAGGACGCCTCCCGCCCGAGCATCTCCCACCAGGGCATCTCCTGCCCGGACATCTCCAGCTCGGGCATCTCCTGCCCGGACATCTCCTGCTCGGACGTCTCCAGCTCGGGCATCTCCAGCCCGGGCATCCCCAACCCGGGCATCCCCAACCCGGGCATCCCCCGCCAGAGCATCCCCGGCCCGGGCATCGCCTTCCAGGTCATCATCTGGCAGGTCATCATCTACCAGGTCGGCCTCCACGACTGCCTCTCCTACTAGAGTGTATCTTGTTAGAGCAACACCAGTAGGGTCAGTACCTGTGCGGACATCTGCCAGACCACCTCCGGCCACCAGGACCACCAGGGCTGCTGTGGAGAGTTCAGGTAAGGGCAATACTATGGGCAGGTCAGAGGATTAGGGCACAATCCATGGTCAAGGAGACACCTCAGAGTTGGCGTGCTGTCCTCCTCATGACGTTAGGATGACCCAAGGATGGACAGTAAAGAGCTTGAGAAAATGGGAGCAGGAAAGAAGGAATGATTACATGGAAACGTAAGATGGTAGAAGGTTGAGAGCAGAAAAGTTCAGGCCAAGACATAAGAACTGGCAAAGTAGTTTGTAACTTTGGAGCCTAAACCTCCACATTTAATTCCAAGGACAAAGGTCTCTGGTTAGAGACATGCCTGCATGTTTTCCTTGGGATTTCTGGTGTATCTGTCCATGAAATTGGACCAGGTCATGATCAGTGGGTCTGCCTGTGGGTGGAGGTTGGAAAGGGAAGGATCGGGACCAACTTTATACGGTTTAGTTAGCAGCTAAATCATACAGAATTCAAGATGCCAAACAGGTTCAAGGGTCTGGTTACACCCTTAATGAAACAATATTTCTGCCCATTGTAACACTGCCCTCTTCCGACCTAAACCTCAGAAGGCCATCATCACAGTTCCAGCAGGCTTAGGGCTTGTACATGACCTGACTTTGGAGACACTGCTCAGATCTCGAATCTCCCTCCTTTGTCAGTCTTGTGACCATTTTTGCCCTTTCATATTGGGCTTTGAGATCAGATACACAGGTGTTTGAATCCCTGCTCTGCCACTCAGTAAGCTAGTAACTTCAGACAAGTTGGCGTCATAGTACCCAGTTTACAAGATTGCCGCAAGCATCCAAGATTATGACAGCTCATCCAGAGGCTTGGTGTACCAATACCAGCAGCTCAATTAAAAAGGGAGCAGGAGGTCCCTGGGGGGGGGGGCACAAACAGATTGCACTCCTCTCGTAGCCTAGAGGCTGGCTATCTGAATCCACCCTCCAGTGCTGAGGAAGAAAAACCTGGGGTTTGCCTCTAACAAGATCGCAGCCTAGAAAAACCTAACGTGTGCAAATCACTAGGAGTCAGAATTGATTGTAGCGCAAAGAGTTTGGGGGTTTTCCAGTTGGCAGCTGGTGGGCTGAGGATAATATTAAGGGGTGGGGAGGTGCAGTTGAGGGCCTCATGAGCCAGCCTTTCTTCCTTCTCCCACTTCCTCCACACCAAGCCCTCCCCAGTCCCCTCACCCTGTGATCTTCCCTCTCCTAGGTCACAGCTTGCCCAAGTTCACCTGGGAGGAGAGCCAGAAGCGGCTGCCACTCATCGGCTGTGTCATTCTCCTCATCGTCCTGGTGGTGTCGCTCATCCTGCTCTGTGAGTGTGATGGAGGAGCGGTGCTGGGTTCTGGGTGCTGCCTGGCTGGACGTGGGTCTGAGACAACACCTACCCAACTAAGAATGGCCTTGGACCAGGCCCCTGTAGATCCCGTTGAGGCTCCAGAGTCAAAAGTGCATAAAGTTTTAGGTTTGGCTTCCATCTGTGAAGCTCACTTGGGCAAATTATTTAACCACATTCTCAGTCTCTGCATCTCTAAGTGGAAGTAATTGAATCCATTCATTCAATTTTCTATATGCCCAATAATATCTTACACTCATTTCCCTGGTTGTGAGGAATAAATTAAATAATGTGCATGCCTGGTGCAACATCCCATTCTCAAAAGGAGAGTTATTTAAAAACTCACATATAACAAATACTGATTGGGGGGAATCTCAGGAATATTTGACCCATGACATAAAATGTCCAGAGGCTCAGATACTGTTACTGCATTTACCCTGAAGGGGTCCCAGGACATACCCCAAGGCTTTCTGCCTGTGAGTCTAAGATGCATATGGCATGATGGGACATCCTTAACGCAGACAATGGGCAGCATAAGTCATATCATCTCTGTCATAGGGAGAGTAAATTTTCCTGGGGAACAGAGCTGGAAATGACTAAGGTCTTCTGCATATGAGTGTGATTTTCAGGAAGAGATGAAAACAATGTAGGCTGAGGTTGGAAGGGACAGCTCATGATGGCTGTGGACCAGGTGAGGACCTAGAAAGACAGAAGAGCATTCTGACTTGGTCGAGGCACCTAAGTGGGTTGTACAAGTGGGTGAAGTGAGTCTTGGGGTAAGGAAATTGATCTGTTTAACTAGAGAAGAGAATACTCCTTTGGGGACAGAGAATTCTCCCTTTAGCTGAAGGTTGAGGACCAAGTTGTAGGGTGGACTATGCTGCCAGAGCTCCATTCAGAGCTTAGGGAGCCAAATTCAATGTATGGGCTCGAGGGGAAGTTTTTGCTCTGTATCAGGTCTCAAGGAAGATCCTTGTCTCTTTGAAGTATCTGTGGATTTAGTGTCCCTTGGAGATGTCTATGTGTCTCAGCATCAATCTTACAATGTCTAGGAGGTATTGGACAGTTTTACTGCAATTCTGGTTCCAAAGCATGGGGTCTGCTCCTAGCTCTTCTTTCTTGGTGGTCATCAGGTACCTCCTTCTCTACTCTATTCCCTGCACTTTTTGTAAGATAAGAGAATCAGACTATACCCCAGGAAAATTTTTCTTATCTCAAATTAGAACTGAGAACTGAGTAAGGGTATTGTGTTCCACTTGAATCTCCTAAAATTGCTTGACTGATCACATCCTGGGTCATGATTACATCATTACATAACTGTCAAAGCACTGAGCATCATAGCCCATCAAGTTGACACATATTGGGGAGGGGGTTGCAATATAGTCAATGATAGCCTTCTTTATTTATTGTCCAGCTTTCTGATGCATATTGCTGTTATTAGATGCCATCAAGTAGACTACCACTTACAGAAACCCTATGAACGACAGATCACAACTTTGCCCCATCTTGCACCATCCTCAAGATCTCTGTTATGCTCAAGCCCATTGTAGTAGTCACAGTGTCAATCTATCTTGTTAAGTGTGTTGGTCTTACTCCAAGGACTGGTTCTTCCTGAAAATACACCCAACGTATGTGAGATGAAATTTCAGCATCCTTGCCTCTGGTTGCACTTTCTTTGGCAGTCCATGGCATAGTCAATAATCTTCACTAGCACCACCATTCAAAGACATCAATTCTTCTTCTGCCATCTTTATTCATTGTCCAACTTTCAGATACATTGGAAGCAATCAACATGACCAGGGCTTGCATCAGGCACACCTTAGTCATTAAATTTACATCCTTACTCTTGAAAACTTTGGAGAAGACTTTGATAGATTTTTTCCAATTCAATATGTCTTTAGATTTTTTTGACTGCTGATATGATGGATGAGTCTTGACTGTGGATTCATATGCGTATTAGCAATTGAAGTTGACATGGCTTAAGTTAGGTGCATCTTAGTCCTCAAAGTGTCAAGTCTTTTTGTAGATTTGCTAAATGCAATGTGCGAGTCAATTTGTAAAATTGTTACCTGTAAAATGTTATTTGTAATTTATTATGATCCACAGAGTTGAATGCCTTTGCATACTCAATAAAACACAAGTAAACATCTTTCTGAAATTCTCTATTTTCAGCCAAAATCTATCAGATATTAGCAATGATATTTCTTTTCTATATTCTCTTTTTCTTTTTTTAAAAAAAATAATTAAACCTTTTATTTTGTATTATACAAAGTTTATATACATTGTTTTTCACACCAGATCTTTCCTATTTTCTTTACCCACCCCTCCTGTGCCCTCACCCACCACCTATTCTCACCCCTCTGCATCTCCCCTACTCCCACTTGGATCCTCATACACATTCTACAATAATGGTCTTATATAGCATTTGTCCTTATGAGACTGAGTTAGTTCACACATGAGTTAGTTAGTATAATGTTCTCCAGTTCCCGCCCCCCAACAATTAGGTAGTAATTTACAAAATCATTGTTCCTGCGTGCTGCATAGTATTCCATTGTGTGAATGTACCATAATTTCTAAATCCATTCCTTTGTTATTGGGCATTTGAACTGTTTCCATGTTCTTGCAATGGTGAATAGTGCTGTCATGAACATTGGTGTACAAGTCTCCGTTTGTGCCTCAGTTCTCATTTTCTCAGGGTATGTTCAAAGCAGTGGAATAGTTGGGTCATATGGAATTTCTATGTTAAGCTTTCTGAGGAAATGCCAAACTGCTTTCCAGAGTGATTGTACCATTTTACAATCTAATCAACAGTGTATAAGTGTTCCTATCTTGCCACATCCTCTCCAACATTTGTTACTTGCTGCCCTGTTAAATTTTGCCTCTGTTACTGGAATGAGATAGTATCTCATTGTTGTTTTGATTTGCATCTCTCTTATTGCCATTTCTTCATGTGTCTGTTGGCCATTCAAATATCTTCTCTTGTGAAAATTCTTTCCATGTCTTTTGCCCATTTTGTAATTGCTTGATCATTCTTTTTCTTATGGAGGCCCTGTAGGATTCTGTAAACTTTTGATATAAGACCCTTGTTTGAAATGGTATTGCCAAATATTTTTTTCCCCAGTCAGTAGGTTTTCTTTACACTCTGTTGGAATTATTTTTTCTGATGCACGCAAGGATTTAATCTTTAAAAGATCGCGTACATCAATTTTATCCCCTCCAGATTGTACATTTCTGGCTGCATTCATTATCCCACAGACTAGGCCTCTATGAACTTTATGGTTTGGGGCTTTACTTCCAGGTCTCTGATCCACCTAGAGTTGATTTTGCGTATGATGTGAGATATGGATCCTGTTTTGGCTTTCTGCGGGAAGAAACCTAATTATGCCAGCACCATTTGTTGAAGATCTATATTCTCTTTTGAATCTACCTTGAATTCTAGTAGTTCCCTGTCTAAGTACTGCTGTAACAAGTTTCAAATGATTTTCAGTGAAATTTTACTTGTATATAATATTAATAATGTTGTCTGATAAGGTGATTTTTTTATAAGTTTTTTTTTCATTCTTTGGATCATTTTCACTGGAATAGGCCTAAATATGGATAATTTTGAATGGATTGGACACGTTGTGTCTTCCAAATTATTTATATATAGACTAGTGAGAGATTCTAGCTTTGTATGTGTTTGTTGAAACATCTCAATTGTTATTCTTTTAGTTCCTAGAATCTTGACATTTATCAATGGCTTCAGTTAACTTTAGACATTGTCTTTCACTTTGGTTATACATTAATCAATCCTTTTTGCTATAGTAACTGTGCGTATTCTTTCCATCTTCTTTTGATGCTTTTGACATCATATAACATTCTGCCTGTAGAATCCTTCAGTGCTTTAATTTGATGCTTGATTTTTTTTTCTTCCATTATTTCAGCTTGAAAAATGTCAAATTCTTCTCTTTTAGGTTTCTTACTCTTTTCATGATGCACACTTCACTATAATGTTTTGTTTTGTTGAGGAATCCTTTGCAATTATCCATTTAGTTCTTTTAATTCATCAATTGTTCCATTTGCTTTAGCTATTCCATATTTAAAAGCAAGCTTCAAAGTTTCTTCCAGTATCCATTTTGTTCTTTTCTTTCCTCTCTTTTCATTGACCTTTTGCTTTCTCCACTTGTGACATACTATGACTCACCTGGTCTTTGACCATTAATGTTCAATGCATCTAATTTATCTCTGAGATAGTCTCCAGATTCAAGTGGGAACTGCTCAAGATTGTACTTTGACACTCTCTCTCTCTCTCTCTCTCTCTCTCTCTCACACACACACACACACACACACACACACACACTGACCTTGAGTCAATTCTAACTCGTGACTGATGTTCTAGACAGTTTTAAAGGCTGTCATTTCCATGATAGGAGATTATCATCTTGGCTGTCATAGAATTGTTTCATTTGCTCCATCTTCAACTTGAATTGGCATGTAAACAATTTGTGGTTGCTTTCACACTTCGTTCTTGGCCTTGTTCTGACAAATGATACTCAGTATCTCCACTGTTGTTTTTTTTTTTCACAGATGTTGTCAATTTTACTCCTGTCTGTGCATCCCATGTGGCAAGGTCCACATGTGTAATTATCATTTGTGTTATTTAAAAATGGTTTTGACTTTGCGAGATTTTATCATTCAATCTCAAACATCATTTCTGCCACTACGGACATATTTTCCAACTATTAATCCTTCTTTGTTACCAACTTCCATATTCCAATCACCAGTATTTATCAATGTATCTTGATCACATAGTTGATCCATTTCAGACTGCAGGAGTTGGTAAAAGAATCTTTACAGTCTTCTTGACAAGGGTGGTTGGTGCACACGTTTTCATTATTCACTTATTAACTAATCTTTCTAGTAGGCTTGTAAATATCATTCTGTTGCTGACACCTTTGTACCTCAGGACAAATCATGACATTTTCTTTTTGACAGCCAATGCAATACTATTCTTCTTCTATTTGTTATTTCCAGTGTAGTAAATCATATGATTGTCTGATTAAAAATGGCCAATGCCAGTCTTCTTCAGTAATGTCTACTATACCTATCTATTTTCAAGTGTTCCATTTCCATTTTGACAACTTGTAATTTTCCTAGATTTGGACTTCATGAACTCCATGTTTTGAGTTGTGTCACATCAGCAAATCAAAGTCCTGTATGCTTTACCCCATCCCCATCATCAAAGCCTGCTCCACTCTGAGAAGGCGGCTCTTCCCCAGTCATACTTTAAATGTCTTCCAACCTGAGGGATTCATCTTCTACCATTATGTCAGAGAATGCCCACTGTTATTTATTGGGTTTTCACAGACAGATATTTTAAAAGTAGGTTTCTAGGTCTTTCTTTCCAATTGTCTTTCTCTGGAAACTCCACTGAAATCTGTTTACTTTGGGTGATCCTCTTGGTATTTAAAATACTGGTAGAGTAACTTCCAACCTCACAGCAACTCATGAGCCATATAGTACAACAAATAGATAAGTGACAAAAGGGAATTCTAGGGAGTTTCACTCCTTCTCCTTGGGTGGCTGAGACCATAGTTAGGCGAACAATTAGAAGGGAGTTGGGACTTAAGAGTCAGTTAGCTTAGGATTAGAGGCTGAGTAAGGAGTTAGAACTGGGGTCAGGCTAGAGATCACACTTGTCCACATCAATGGAGGTCTCATCAGGCAGAGGGGGGACAGAAAAGAGTGGTAGAAAGAAAATGATGTTGGAGGAAGAAGTCATGAAATTGATTTGCACATACGGTTTATAAAGCTGTTCTCTTTCAGGCACAACTTGGGAATTGAACACCTAAAGTTGATCATTTAATGGGGAGGATATTTAAAGTCATAAAGGCATGTAATAAAATATGTACTGTGTTGGCATGTATTAATTAGGAGAATAGGAGGAAGAAGGAACTCTAGGAGCTTTAAAGTTTAAAGTATGGTAGTCTTCAAAACGGAAGGGCAGGTGGTCGCTGTGTGTGACCGTAAAGATAGGAATCCTTTCTGATGTGGAGACCACATGGAACACAGAGAAAAGGGATGGTTTCTGAGAAGGAGCCTGTTGGATGCTGGGAAGGTGGTTTCTTTACCTCCTACCCAGACCACCATGTAAGGCAAGGGAGCTCCTAATGCAGAACCTTCCAGATACATCTCTCTCTCTTTCTCTCTGGGTGGCTGGCTGCTCGAGTCTGCCTGGTGCTGCCCTGCTTGCAGGAGCTTTCTGGAGCATCCTGGAGCATTCCTGAGCAGCCTTTCTCTCCACACAGATGGGAGACCAGAGAGTCAGAGTTCAAGAGGGATTGCAGGTCGGTGTCTCAGAACCCCCAGGGTCTTGGGCTTCTTAACGTCTTATCTCTCCAGGACTGGCCATGACCCCAGCTGTCCACTTTGTTTTTTCCAGTCTACTTCTGGCGGGGCCCCATAGGGATCAAGTACAAGGAGCCAGCTGAGAGCTGCCCTAAGAATGCTGTTCGCTGTGACGGAGTGGTAGACTGCAAACTCAAGAGTGATGAGCTGGGCTGTGGTAAGGAGACTGAGCCTCAATGTGTGTGCATATCCATGTGCACGTGTGTGAGTGCATACTGGTGACTGCAAACTGTGTGTATCTGTTCAAATGTGAGAGAACAGACAGGAGTTCAAAGGACTGGGTCCTAGTCATAGCCAACCTGGGTTTGAAACCTGGCTTCAAGTGTTGTGTGACTTCTCTGGGCTTCAGCTTTTTAATCTGTCAAACGAATGAGGCAGAAAAGATTAGCAGGTCTCCGGTAGATCTGACAACTCCACAAGAGCAGGCTGACAAAAGCAGAGGCACATTGGTCAGAAGAAAGTGTGGAGTACAGAGCCTCATTCATGTGACTCCTTGTTGCTGACCTGGTGACCTTGGACTTCTCACTGCTGTGGTTTCACAGAGGTTAGTCTGTAAACTGCTGGTTTAGGCAATTACCACAATGATTCCCAGAGGACCTCTGAATCCTGGTCACCAGTGGTTTTAATGTGTGCTTGTCTGTGTAGCTCTGGTGTGTTTGTATACATTCACGTGTGAACATCAGCTGTGCACTTTTATTATACCTACTTGGGTTTGGTGTGTTGACATGCATGCAGCCTCTTTGCTTGTTTGTGTCCCTTTGGCTCTAAGCCTATGAGCACACAGCCAGAACACAGGCCTTGTTTCCTTGACCATGCTCTCATTCGACCACCTCACTGCCCTCTCAGGGTGCTGGCTCCTCCTTCCAGCAATGACCTCTTGATCTGGTCACATGGCCGGGTCTCTGCCATGTGTCTCTAATTCTTACTTGACTCTACCCTTCTTGAGGGTCTAGAGCTCCTGAGCACTGGCTGGCGGCCAGCCGCTCCTCAGTGCCTGCCTCAGGGCAGTAGCTGCCCTCAGTTCATTCACAGGAGCATGAAGCTTCCTGGGCTCTGAGATCTGGTCTACCTTTATCTTGTCCTGCAGTGAGGTTTGACTGGGACAACTCTCTGCTTAAAGTTTACTCTGGAACCTCCCAAAAGTGGCTTCCTGTCTGCAGTGACAACTGGAACGACTCCTACTCTGAGAAGACCTGCCAGCAGCTGGGCTTCGGGAGGTAAAACTGCCTCTGGGGTTCCAGTTTCTTTTATCTCAGACTCATTGTAGGACCTCCTATTAAAGGAACTCTTAAGGACCAGGGCTGAGTCACTAGCTCAGCCTCTCCTAGAGTTGCTCCAACCATGGTGGACCTGGGAGCTCACTAGAGTGATAGAAAGCTGTTTCCATGAAGCCAGAATAGAAGAGACACAGACAGACACACACACACAGACACAGACAGACAGACAGACAGACAGACACAGAGACACACAGAGACACACAGACAAACAGACACACACACATACTCACAGACACAGACACACACACACACAGACACACAACTTTCTAGACAATTCTTTGTATAAAAGCAGTCTCATACCCTTGGTCACACTTAATGGCCACTGTGGCCCTGTGAGGTGGGTAGGCCAATGGGGAGGTCTTCTTACAGTTGGGAAATAGGGGTGCAGATGGTACAAGGTCTCCAGTGGATTTTGGGCTGTAGCATCTGTGACTTGGACTAGAATTACCCAAATAGGGAACGAGTGGCCAGGAAAATTCATAAGCAATTTTCGTTCTACAGATTTTTAAACAAAGAAGCCAGAGCTAGTAGGTGAGGTGGAAGGGTAGCATGAACAATGACCTTCATATGAAGAGTTTCTCATTTGAAGGCCAGATATCCATCTTAATCTTCTTTCTTGACCTGTGAATTTTGGGGCCCACTAATGTGTGTAGGTTAAAAGAAGAAGCAGTTAGGATACGATGCTATAGTCTCTGGAAGTACTTGGAAAACTAGAGACCTAGGACTTACTGTCAGAGTTGCAGTCCGTTAAAGGGGGAACATGAAAGTCTGGTGGAAGATGGCAGATTTAAGGGTCTGCCCCACATCCTTTATTAATGGGGGTTGCAACCTTATGCAAGTCTGAGCTCTCTTACAGCATTAGTAGATGGTGTCATTTATTCAAAGAACATTCATTAAGACAGGTACCATGTGCCACTAGACACAAAATACAAGCCAGGATCCTGCCCCTGAAGGACTTCTGGTAGACTGTGGATGAGATATGTGTAAACCAGTGTGACGTGTAGTGATAAGGATAAAGATAAAAGATCCCTAGTCACACCTGGATGAGGAAACAAGAGCCTGGAGGAAAGGGTGCTCTGGGAAGAGGAACAGTTAGAGTGTACTGTGTTCCTGAAATGGACATAAGTTCCACGTGGATAGAGTAGTTCGTGGTTCCTCCACATCAGAAACTCCTGGGCTTCAGAAACAATGGTAACCCATTAAATCAAAGCACCTTGGGTTAGGGCTAGGGACCTGCTTAGAAAACACATTTCAGTGATTTTTATGTGTATGGAGATCTGAGACCCAGTTTGTTGTTAGCTGACTGTCCACTGGGTTTTAGAAGTTGTAATTCACACAGAAGGAGACTGTCCACCTTTCTCTTGCCTCTGAGTTGGCACTGCAATTCCTTACACACTGGGCCAGCAGACACTCAGTAGGCTAGTCCACACATTTTCAGTCTTAAATAGACAATCCAAAAACCTGAAAAGTGGGTCTTTAAGATGCTGGTTCTGATTTGGTTGGTCTGAGATGACAGTGATCTTGCTCTTCCAGTTTGAACATGAAGGGCTAGGTGAGGGCTTCTCACACTTGAGGGTGTATCAGAAACCCAAGAGTCTCTGAAAACAGATTGCTGAGCCCCGCTGGGTCTTTGCTTCAGGAGGTCTGGGAGAGGGCCCAGGAATTTACATTTCTCATAACTTTCAAGCGATGCTGTTGCTGCTGGTGAGGGACCACACTTTGAAAATGATTACTATTACATGGGTTAGATGGGGCTGGGGCTTTGATTTTTGCTGTGAGGAGCGGTCACCGTTCAGACCCTGGCTCCACCTGCAGGCGTGGTGGGGACTCTAACCTTGGACTGGGTGTGGAATCCGTCTCAAGAACATTCCTTCTTTCCCGTTCTTCCTTTATAGTGCTTACCGGACAACAGAGGTGAAGCACAAGGACTTTACCAGCAGTTTCTCTGTCTCTGAATATAACTCCAGCATCCAGGAAAGCCTTCGTAGGTACGGTGGGGGCTGCTCTGAGGGTTCCCTTTGTGAGCAGAGTTGTGAGGGAAATGCAGAAGAATGCTTTGAGTCTGGAAACCCCTCTCCTTCAGCCAGCTCTCCACTTCTAAGACTCCATCAGCAATGTTCAGCGTCAGTCCTCATTCATCCCAACCCCTCCTGATAGAAAAGTTTTTATCTGAGGCATGTAGCAGAGAAGGCCTTGGTTTAGAAGGACTCTCAAATTTACCTGGCTGCCAGGGGCAACTAGTAAACCCTTGGGCCAGGCGCCTGGATGAAAATCACTGCAAGGAGAATATCACCGGTGCTGGGAGTGGGTTAGGATGCAGCAGAGGGTGAGCTTGGGCATGTGAGGGGAGGACAGAGAGGAGTTCCCCGAGCTAGCATTCCTTACCTTGCAGAGGGGAGAGAAGAAACAGATTCTGAAGGGATAAGGCATCCTAAGGCGAGAAGCAAACCAAATGCATTCTGGATACCTACTATGTGCTGCCAAGTTTTGCATGCTCCACTGATGACAGAGCAATGAGGAGCTACATCACATGGGCAGTGGGCCACCTGCTTAGTTGTGGAAAGATTCTGGGCTAACAAAGTCGTGGGTTCAATGACCACTACACTGAGCCATTCCTGTTCCTGGAGAAAGCACTTGCAGGGCTTGTTTCCATGGGAGAGAGAAGGTCAGAGTCTCTTTCTTCTTATGCAAAGGACAACTTCCTTGGAAAAAGGGTAGGAACCAAACAAGACTCAGTGAGGGAAGGCTTCCTGGAGGAGACAGCTTATGTGTTTCTTTTCCTTACTTCTGTGTCTCCTCTTGCAGGTCTGAATGCCCATCCCAGCATTATGTCTCTCTGCAGTGCTCCCGTAAGAAGATGCTCTTTTTGGATTGTGACCTGTGTTGGGTGGGAGTCAGAGGAGGAGGGTGGTGCTCATTTGGGGGGAAATGCCTGGTCCTGGAGGGCCAAGCCAGGAAGAGGGGCTTAGCCAGGAGGCTTGTTTCAGACCTGGGGTCTCAGGAAGGCACTAGATCCCTTTAGGCAGCCTTGCCTCTCCAACACTGACTTCAATTGCTCATGGCATCAATCTCACTTTAAGAAAGCCCTTTAAGGTGGGGGTAAGACTGAGAAAAACTGGATGAAATATGTTTACGGCATTGAAGTCTATGGGGGAGAGAATAGTCTAAAAGTATTATATTTTAGGGCATTATTTTTATCGTAGGAGTATGCAAGGAGGGTTGCAGAGTGGATTATATTTGGGGGTAGGGGGTGGGGTTTGGGGAGGTGCGGGGGGGGGGGATTGTGTACCAATGAGGGAGTTTTTCTTTTGCTTTTCAAGGAGAGGAGCAAATGGGGGGAGGGGTTTGTGCAGGGAGAAGGGTGCAACAATGAATGAATGGAATCCCAAAATCTCTGTAGATGTTCATTGAAATGAAAAATAAACAACCTAAATTTAAAAAAAAAAAAAAAAAAAGCCCTTTAAGTCTTTTGGATTCCAGATAGGGGTCAAAAGACTGAGAGAGCAGATTCTTGGCCAGATTAACACTTCTGTTTCAATAGACACAGAAAGAACTACAAGATTGAAATCTAAAGTCAACATTTACTGAACACAGTCTGCACGCAAGGCCCCATGCCCATATCCTTATGGATATGACACCATTTATTTATTGATGCTATTTACTTCCGGCAATAACTCGACGAGGCAGGTGCCATCCCCAAACCAAAAATACCAGCCCCATTGTAGTCAAGAAGATTCTGATTCAGAACAGAACTACCCCCTCTGAGGTTGTAATCTTTATGAACGTAGACTGCTACATTTGTCTCCCAAGGTGAGTTCAAACCAACAACCTTTCAGTTAGCAAATGAGTGCTTAACCATTGCACCACCAGAGTACCTCAAAGATACCGAGACAAAAATTGTTTGGCTTGCTTCAGATGAGACAGCTAGTAGAGGAGGGGCTAGTATTTGACCTCAAGTCTGTTAGCCATTCCACAAGGCCTGTGTTCTTAGTAATGCTGGTGGGTGTTGCTCCCTTCAGGCTGGCCCTCTCTGTGAATAGAGTGCCCTCCCACTCAGACCACTGCAGCTTCCTCATTGCCTTCCTCTTAAAGACAAGGTCTGAGCACATGCCAAGGACTGCCTTCTTGGTCTGTGACTTGCAGAGCAATTTGATCCAAAATGCGATTGGGGTGAAGTCTTCCCAATTACAGCTCTAACCGGTCCATTCGGAAACACCATGGGCACAAACCCAACTTGTGCATCCCTGGAAGTGTATCTATCCTTCGTTTTGAAGTGCATGGTTTCTTGAGTGACAGAGATTCCCATCACAGTGCTTGTTAATTCAAGATCAGGTTAGAAGTGGCAGATTTTCAAGAGTGCCAGACAGCAACTGCGGGATTTACTAATATGACTTTAATATCTGGCACTGTGCCAAGACATTTAATAAACATTGGGTTAACACAAGGATGAATGAGTGGGAGAAAGAGGAACGTGCCTGGGATCAAAGTTCCCACCAGGTTATCCTGGCAGCTAAGCCACAGTGTGACAGCTCTGCTCTAGTGGGGTTTATATCAGATGAGGTGAGCTCCACAGCATCCAAGGGGGAGGGGAGCCAAGCCTGCCAGGGTCTTGGAGGACATGGTGGACACACAGCAGAGGAGGGTCAGGCTTTGTTTCTTCTGCTTCCCCCACAGACTGTGGATTGAGAGCCATGACCGGGCGGATCGTGGGTGGGGCACTGGCCTCAGAGAACAAGTGGCCTTGGCAAGTCAGTCTCCACTATGGTACCATCCACATTTGTGGGGGCACGCTGATCGACGCCCAGTGGGTGCTCACTGCTGCCCATTGCTTCTTCGTGTAAGTGCTTGAGCGGGTAGGTTACTTGATGTCAGCCAGTGGTCAGCAGTGGCCAGCAAGGGCTGAGAGTAGACTGACTTCTTCATGGGCAGGGGGAACTTTGGGTGTGAGATGGCCCCCTACCCCCTATCCCTTGACTGGGAGAAAGTTATGTGGCTTGAATGATCACTTGGGATCATAATTTGCAGTTCATATTTGATCCTAGAGATCTGAGTTAGGTGCACTTGTCCTGAGCTAGGCCCAAGGATGAGAAAATATTGGGCGAGTTATGGGTAGCAAGTTCCCAGGGGGTGCAACTGATTATCATGCTTGGCTGCTTAACCAAGAGGTTGGTGGTTTGCGTACACCTTGAGGAGTCCCAGAGTAAAAGCCCTGGTGATCTATTTCCATAAAGCTTGACATTGTAAACATTCCTCTCCTCTGACAGCAGGGGGCTATGTTGTTGGAATCGAAGCAAACTAGTAAGAGAGAGTGAGGCAGTCAAGGAGGGCCCTGGAAGCCTCTCTCTGAAGAAATTCAGTTGCTGCATCTGCAGGTGGAAAAAGCTCGAGAAGTTAGGACTGCTGTGTCGGGAACAGTGGGAGAATAGTTGTCAGCTTCTGGGTGTGCCTTCAGCTCTGGCACTCACCAGGCGGGCTCATCCTGGTGGTGGTTTGAAGCCCAGGTTGGTGGGCAGGGAGAGGCTCTGCACCAGGCCTCACTGGCTCTCGATTCCCCAGTAAAGATTGTTGACGTCCTTTATCCTGTTGACATCTCTTGCCTGAGGCTGTCCTGTCCACTGTGCTTGACCCATGGTGAGGTACAAAGAAGCCTTAGAAGTTACCAGATCCTGATAAGTCAGTCCTGACTCAGACAACCTCTGTTGTCTGGGCAGTTATAAACCTCTAACCTTTTGGTTAGCAACCAAGCAACCATGTGCATCACCTAGCAGGCAGAGGAGACATAGAGGTGAAGGCTGCACAGAGGTCTTATTCACTGTCTTTATTGTGGCAAAGTGAAAGCAGCTGGTTCACAGTGTGTTTAGTGTTAGGGAGATAAAACAATTGTGTTGGGGCTCCTGAAACAAGATAGACTGCCCTCCAGTGGTCATCCATCTCTCTCCTCTCCTCTCCTCTCCTCTCCTCTCCTCTCCTCTCCTCTCCTCTCCTCTCCTCTCCTCTCCTCTCCTCTTCTCTCTCTCTCTCTCTCTCTCTCTCTCACACACACACACACACACACACACACACACACACCCCTCCAGTTGGTGCTCTGCTAGCCACTCTGCATGTATCAGATGCTGCCAGCTAGCTGTGCCTCCTAAGTAACTGGACCACGCTGTCTTGCGCCTCTGTAGGACCCGGGAGAAGATGCTGGAGGGCTGGAAAGTGTATGCAGGCACCCACAACCTGCACCAGCTGCCCGAGGCTGCCTCCATCTCTGAGATCATCATCAACAGCAACTACACGGATGAGCAGGATGACTACGATATCGCCCTCATGCGTCTCTCCAAGCCGCTGACGCTGTCTGGTGAGTGGGTCCACGCCTGCCACGCCCCACGCCTCTCAGAGCCCACTGGGCCTGGACCTTGTGCCTGGCAGCGTCTGTCGCCCTGTCTTAGAGTCCCACAGGCAGTCACAGCCAGGTACAAGTCAAAGATGCTTAGTGATCATCTAAGCTGAAACCTCTGTTTTTATCTTATTAATTAATTAACTTTATTTGAGTGAAGGTTTATAAATCATACTGGTTTTTCATGCAATCATTCATAGACACTTTGTTTTACAACATTAATTACTATTGAGCAATGTAATTTGTTAATTACAACACTCAGTCAGCCCTTGGAAGCTCTGGTGGCTGAGTAGTAAGGAGTTGCATTAGAAACCTAAAGGCATGCAGTTCAAATCCACCAAGCTGTTCCTTGGGAGAAAGATGGCAGGCAGATTCCTGTGCAATTTACAGCCTCCAAAAACTCACTGGAGGGTCAGCTATGATTCAGTTCTGACTCAATAGTACACAACAACAATCGATCCATCCCTTGGGAATTGCCTTCACTCAACTTATCTTTTTATTCATTTTTACTGTTTTTCTTTTTAACTTTTCATTGTCATTTGGGTAAAAGTATACACAGTAAGTAGGTGTTCCCTTCAACAATTCATACATGTTTTACTTTGTGACATTGACTGTGATCCCCACAGCGGTAGCAGCTATGTTCTCACTTCTGTCCTGGGTTTACGGCTTCTGTGTGGTGTATCCTTCCATCCTCTCCCTTCCTCCCTTCTGGGCTTTATCTCTGGGTGGGTGCTGTCCTTTTGAGCTTGCATGATTGGTTGTTGTGTGAAGTGCATTCCTTCCTGGTGTTATTGTTGACAATGCCTGTATTTTAAAACTTGGAGACTGAGGTACCAGGGTTGAAAAGAAATTAATTCCAAATGACATGTCACATATGGTAAGTTAATGCAGAGTCAGGGCTTGGTTAGAAATAGATTGAATTGTTTAGCTGGTATTTCTTAGATGCATAACTGGCCCAGACACAGTGACAGACATTTTACCTATGAGGAAATGGAAATTTAGAGATAGGAAGCCCAAGGATTGGATGCAATCCATCTGATTCCCATGCACAGTTCTTCCCACTCAGCTCTTTGGCAAATTACTTACCTGCAGTTGACAAATAAGATGAACACAAATTCAAACAACTGGATGAGATAGGGACTAATAAGAAAATGGAGCTCAGTAAATGCTGCAGAAATTCTGAGGAAGAGATCATCATGGTCTAGAGCTCTCAAGGAAGGTTTGATTCATACCTTCACTCATTTGTTCACTTATCAAGTACTTATCAAGTATATGACATGCTTGGAAAAGTGCAAGGTCAGTCAGAGTGGAAGACAATTAGTCCACAGATGGATTGGCACAGTGACTGCAGCAATAGGCTTGGGCATGGTGGAGATTGTGATGATAGGGCAGGATAGGGCAAAGTTTCCATCTGTCATCTATGGCCTAGTGGCAAGAAACTGAACTGCAATCTCTAAAGCATTCAGTTCAAATCCACCAGCTGCTCTGAAGGAGAAAGATGAGTAATCTCCTTCTGTGTGCTTAAACAGCCTCTGAAAGCCACTGGAGGGTCAGCGATGGGTTGGTTCTGACTTGACAGTACACAATGACACCTAAGGATTGGCAGCATCATGATAAACGATGAAGAGATCGAGATTGTTAAGAGCTTCAGCTTGCATAGCTCCACAATCAACACTTGGTACCAGCAGTTAGAAATCAAAAGACAAATTGCATTGGGAAAATTTGCTGTCAGGGACCTCTGTCGAGTACTGAAGAGCAATAATGTCAGTCTAGAGACTAAGGTGTGTTTGATCCAGACCATGGTCTTTACAATTACTTGCTATGTATCAGAAAGCTGGACAATGACTAAGGATGATAGTGGTGCTGGAGAAGAGTACTGAACATAGCATGGACTGCTAGGAAAACAGATCTGACCTGGAGAGGGTGAAACCGAGCTGCTCCTTGGAGGCAAGGATTCTGAAGTTCTGTCTGACATACTTTTGGCATGTTGCAAGGAGTGAACTTCCATCATTGTGCTTGGAAGGGTGGAGGACAGTGCAAGAAAGGAAGACCCAGATGAGCTGCATCAGAGACAATGAGGTTGGCCTAGGATAGGGTCGGCATGAGTCACAAGCACCTCGATGGCCTGTAACAACACAACTAAAACAAGAATAGGTGTCTACACCTGAATAATCGGTGACTGCAGATGTCGGGCCCTGCACGCATATTGGCTGAGACAGAAAAGACAGGCATTCATGGTACAGGCCAGGGCTGCCACGTCTGGGATGCCCAGATCAGTCTCAGCAAACTCACAGATGCTTCCTTGAGAAAGAGTAGGGAAGGTGCATCCTGAAAGGACTACTTAAGTCAGATAAAGGGTTGTTAGGATTGACCGTGAAGAATAAGGTGGGAGTCCTCTTACAGTGAGAAAGTACAAAGGATAGATGCTTTTGAATTATGGTGCTGGTGAAAAATGTGGAATATACAATGGACTGCCGCAAGGATAGTTGAACTCCGACTTTGGCACAGATTTACATACCCAAGTGGAGATGTACATGCCCAAGCAGAGCTGGAATGCTCAGGAAAGAAGATGGTGAGGCCTGGCCTGCTTACTCTGGCCGTGTTAGCAGGAGGAGCCTGCCCTCGTGATGCTTGGCAAACCAGACGGTCCGTTCACATAGGCTGACAGAGTGGTTGCGACAGTGGGCTCAATAATAGCAACAGCTGTGAGGCTGCAGTGTTTTGTTCCATTGCAGCCAGGATTGCGATGCGTCTCAGTCTATTTGACAGCACCTAAGAGTAGTAACAAGAGGGAAAGGCAGGTAGTGTGCCTCTCAGAGGGCAGGGATTTCTGGAAGCCCTGGCGGTCTCTCTGCTTAGTCCAGCCATTCTGGTGCTCTGAGCCAGTGAGCCGGTGCTTTCTGGCACATTCATTAGGGAGGTAGTGACAGTGGGGCAGGACAATCAGTCAGAGCACAGTGCAAAGAGGCTGGCCCCCAGCCATGTCCACCAGAGGTGGCCCTCTGGCTGAGAACTGCTGTCCTCCCTGTCCACCTCTCTCCTCCTGTTCTCCTCCTGCCCTGTGCAAGGAGCTCGGGACTGTGGGGGACCCTCACAGCCCCACCACCACCCTGCCACTCAGGAAGCCACATAGGAAGCAATCTGCCTTCTCCACCATTAAAAATCCATTTAGCTAACATCCAAATCTCACCTCTTACCCTCCTTCTACTCAACTCAGTATTATTTAGAATTAAAAGATAAGTTTCTATAAACCAAATAAAAGCTATTATTAAGGGTGATTATCCTTTTCAGACGGTGTCAGTCTCTCTTCAGATGTTTATAAGTCCCTGACAAGGGAGCAGCCCAGTCCAAGAATCACAGCTCAAGTTCTCTTAAAAACACTCTGATTGGGGAGCTCTGGTGGCCTAGTGGCAAGAAGCTGTACTGCAATCCTAAAGGTACACGGTTCGAATCCACCAGATGCTCTGCCAGAGAAGGAAGGACAATTTCCTCCTGTACCTGTCAGATCTGATTTGACGGTACACATACAAAAAAATAATAAAAAATAAAATTAAAAAAAGCCCAAACACTTTGATCTATGTGGCTAGCAGCATGCTGGAATCTTTGCTTTAGGATTCAGGGTAGATTTTCCTTAAATTTGGCAGGAAGCCTCAAAGTCACAGTGCTCTCTGAGAATATGTGTGAAGTCTTACTGATAAATTTCATTCCTCCCTAAAAATGAGGAATGTGATGGAATGTGTAATGGTGTTAAGACATTTTCCATATGTGTGACATGTAGAAGGCTTAGCTCTTAACTACCAGCCTAAAGGTCAGCAGTTCAAACCCACAGGGAGGTGCCTTAGAAGACAGTTGTGGAGACCTGCTTTAAAAACCCCAGGGAGAGGCGAGGGGAGAGGGCTGAGTGGGTAGAGAAGTGCAGCAATGAATGAATGGAAATACAAATTCTCTGTAAATGTTCCTTAAAATTATTTAAAAAAAACAACCAAGAAAAACAAAAACAAACAAACATACAAACAAACAAACCCCAGGGAGCAGGTCTGGAGTCATCAGCAGCCAGAACTTGCTCAGTAACAACAAATAACATATATTCAAGTCTCTATCTCAAGATAGAGAATAGAAGATGTTAGGAAATTATATTTTGTACTTTGGGTTAAAAACTGGTGCTATCCCTGCATTTGTGTTGTTTGGGTTCTGTTGTTTTGTTTTGTTTTTCCCCCTTTCTTGTTGTGTATCATCTAATCGGATCCAACTGGAACAGGAGGAGATTGCCTCTCCTTCTCCAGGGGAGCATCTAGTGGATTCGAAACGTGCACCTTCAGGATTGCAGCGCAGCTTCTTGCCACTAGGCCACCAGAGCTCCCTGCCTGCATTTATTTTTGTTTGTTTACTCTCTAGCAGACAAAATGTAGTAGACTCCAAAGTCTGTTGTTGTTGTTGTTTTTGTTGAGTGCCATTGAATTGGTTCTGACTCACAGAGACCTTATACATAATCAAAGGGGCCACCCTGGACCTACCACCCAATAAGTAGCAATCCCTACTAACACCAGGTAGTTTCTTAAATGTTATAATGTGCAATGTGCAATCCTGTCAGTGATTCTTTCCTACTCTGTTACATGAGTGTCCATTTGTTTATCTTCCACTCTGAATGGGTATTTCACTCATGCATGATTTTGCCATCATCACAATCTTTGCTGTTTGGACCCCCTATTGTAGTCAATGCAGGAATCTCTGGTGGAGAAGAAGATATACTGTGCTTTTTTGGGGTGCATTAGTCTATGGATATCTATGAGGTAATTGTATGTATTAATCACAATAAAATTAAAAAGAGAAGAGGGGAAACCCCAACACATATGACATGAGGTCTTACCAACCTCCCTTCTTCTTTTTTTTTTTTAATAAATTTTTGTTTTATATTGGTTTGCTTACAAAGTTCATATGCATTGTTTTCACACTGGATCTTACCCATTTCGTATACCCACCCCTCCCTCTACCCATCAAATTATACAACCTCATGATCACCCCCTGCCCATCCTCATTTCTCTGCTCCTAACCTCCCTCCCCACCTTGGTGCCTCTTATGCATTTTACTAATTTCCTTTCTATTTCTATAATACTGCATTTGTCCTTATGGGACTGATTTCACTTAGCATAATGCTCTCCTGTCCCTCCCAAGTTATTTTTTGAGATCATTGCTCCTGCATACTGTGCAATCCTGTCACCTAAGAAGTATTCTAGCTCTCTTTCTTACAAAGTAGTTTTGTTCATTCTTTGGCAGTCCATGGTGTATTCAATACTCTTTACCAACACTCTAATTAAAACATGTCACTTAGTCTTCAGTCTTCTTCATAATCCAGTGTTTCACATGCATATGACTTGAATTAACTCACCAGAGCACTCCTTAGTCATTAAGGCAACATCTTTGTTTTCATTCTTTAAAGAGATCTTCTGAAGTGTATTTGCCCAGTGCAGTAGGTTGTTTGAATTTTTTGAGTGCCACTTCCATGGGCATTGATTGTAGATGCAAGGTAAATTAAATACTTGGCATCTTCAAAATTGTCTCCATCTATCATCAACACACTGTGGGTCCACTTGGGAGGACTTTAAACTGTATTGTAATCCATACTAAAGGCTGCATGTCTTTGAACTTCATCAGCAAATGCTTCAAGTCCACTGGACTTTCAGCAAGCAAAGTGTGTCATCTACATGGCACTGGTTATTAACAAGTCTTCCTCCATATTCCAAAGCTTAAAACCACATTTATTGGAAAAAGATTTAATATTAATTTAGCAAATATTTATTGGGTACTTAATAGGTTTCAGAAACTGTTGTAGAAGCAGGACGCTACTACCCTCCCCACTGAGTATAATGAACAATGAGAACACTGCATACAGTCTATCCATAAACTTATTTTTCCTCCGCAGATTGAAACTTGGTGATTGACGACACCATTACATCTGTAGACACCAGTCCTTAGAGGGAGTTTACAAAGTGATACACACCCACTTATCCCACTGCTTTTGAGTAACTTCCTAGCCTTGACATTCCTCCATGATATTTCTGGGCCTCTCTATCTAAGTCTTAATGGCACCTAGAATGCATCATCTTTCTTCTGAAGAACAATGGTGGATTTAAATATCTATCCTTTTAGTTAGCAGCCCAGAATGTAATGTAACATGCTACCAGGACTCCTTTATGCCACCAAGATCCCTAATATTTTTTAAGGTGGAGTTTGTTAAGAACTGTCTGGTGGCTCATACCTCTAAGGATGGGATTCCTGCTGGGGATAGAGTGTCTCATCCAGGCATGTGTGAACTTTTGGAAGGAGAGCCATGTTCTTGGTGAACTAGCAGATCCATCCCCACCTGGAGCAGGCTCGACACAAGACACATCACTGAGACCTCATGGGTAAAATACCTGAGATTTAGCCTATTTCTGCTTTTTTGTTCTGATACAAAGACATGCAAGAGGCTCAGTCAGGAGACTGGCTTGGGGGAGCTTCTAGGGTATATATTTCTCTGTCCGACTGGCAATGACTGAAATGTGAATGGCTTTGGCTTCTCTTGGAGAACACCGAAGACTGGAGGGGACAAGAGACAGGGATCACATTATTTCTTGCCTGGTCATCTCTAAGGCCCTAAAGGATCAGACCTTTCTGGAGTCACTCCTGTCCCTATACCCCTACTCCCAGCAAAACTCCAACCATTTTCCTTAACTGATGTTTCAACATTTTGTTGCAGCTCATATCCACCCTGCCTGCCTCCCCATGCACGGACAGACCTTCAGCCTGAACGAGACCTGCTGGATCACAGGCTTTGGCAAGACCAAGGAGACAGATGGTGAGAGGGAGAGGGAGAG